AAAAATCAAACAAGCCAAACACCCGATGTTCATCAGCAGTGCCAATCAGCAGTAGGAGCAGTTTTAAACCCCTTCCTGTCCCGGCAGCGGTGACAGTCGTGTGCTCCATACATCTCTGCATCCAGAGTCTTGCAGAGAACTGTGAGTAACAGGATTAAGTATTATCTCTTTGTAAACTCAGAGGGCTGAGCACGGTGCTGCCTGTCCATAATCTCAGCATCCAAGAGGCCAAGGCCAGCCTGGACCACAGAAGTTACACAGGACCAGAAAGATAAAGGGATAAAGGGATATTCCTTTTCCCTTTTCCCTCTTCTGTTGATAATCTCCTGTTTCCAATCACAGTTGATAGTTTCCAGTCTGGTGCAATTATTTTTTCTTTTGTTTTTGAGACAGGGTTTCATAATGTAGCTCTGGCTGGCCTGGAACTCACTATGTAGACCAGGCTGGCCTCAAAGTCACAGACAACTCCCTGCCTCTGCCTCCTGAGTGCTGATGGATTAAAGGCATGCTCTACCACACCTGACTTCTTTTGCTCTTTATATGTGTGATTTGGGAGATGGAAGCCATGGCTTGGGCATGCTAAACAAGTGCTCTACCACTGAGCCACACTCCCAGCTTCATATTTATTTATGTATTTATTTATTTATTTTTAAAGATTTATTTATTTATTATGTTTACAGTGTTCTGTTTGCATGTATTCCTGCAAGCCAGAAGAGGGAGCCAGATCTCATTAGAGATGGTTGTGAATTACCATGTGGTTGCTGGGAATTGAACTCAGGACCTCTCGAAGAACAGTCAGTGCTCTTAACCTCTGAGCCATCTCTCCAGCCCCACATTTATTTTTTAATTAAAAACTTTACTGAAATAAAGTTTTTAATGGGATATGGTTCAGTTGGTAGAGTGTTTGTTTGCCTAACATGCCTTAGGTTCAGTCCTCAGCAATGCATAAACTAGACAAGGTGGTGCACACCTATAACCCATGCACTTGGTTTGGTGAAGACAGGAGAACCAGGAGTGATCAGAGTTCAAGGCTATCATCAGCCACATAGTTTCAGGCCAGTCTACGGTAAAGGAAACCCTCTCTCAAATTTTTTTTTTTCAAAATGTTTTTTAATTGAAGTATAATAATGTATCTAAGGTATTAAAATCTTAAGTGTTAGAATTAGGAGCACTTGCCTTGCACATGGGAGAACCTGGGAGTGCTGCCCAGAACCACAAAGTCAAGTGCAGCTTGATGAATTTATACACAGTGACACACCTGTGTAGCCAGCGCCTAAGTCCAGAAACAAAATCTTGCAGCTTTGCTAGAATCCCTGGATGCATGGACTCTTTGAAGTTAGGGGTGCTAGCAGAGAGGCACTCTGGGCACCTAAAACACAGGATTCCCCAACTCGGGGTCCAGGTGGACTCTGGACATCTGTATCCCCTTCAAATTATAGGCAACCATTTTCCTGAGGAAAGGGGGCAGTTCCTTCACCAGGTTCTCACAAAGTGGAGGCCAATCAAAGCCACATCTGAAGTCTGGCATGGTGATTCCTTCCTCCTCAACAAACTTTATTGTGGTGCGTTTTGTTGTTGTTGTTGTTGTTTGAGACAGGGTCACACTATGCAGCCCTGGCTGACCGGAACTCTGCTCTTGTAGAAATTTAGAACACATGACCACTGAAGAAGTCAACATGTTGGTGCTCTGCCCGGCATTCTCTGCCCCTTATAAAACAATGAAATATAAATACCATGTTTGCTTTGCAAAATTACTTTGCCACTTACCCAATGACACACATTACTTAGGTGGCTATTCGCAAAAGCCTGTCTTCCATACCGGATCTTTCAGCTGCTAGACCACGACAGCTTCCATAATACCAAATTGCTTAACTTCAGCTGAAAACAAGCTAAGCTTGAAATACCAGGCTGAACAGGAAAGAGTGAAGTCCAAAGCCCAGGATTTTTTTTTTTTTTTTTTAACAGTTCACTTCTAACCAATGGAAACTCTTTGTCGAGGTGAAAGTGCCACCTTTAAAAGACGCGCTTTGCTGCCTAGAGGTGTGGCTCTGCGGGTTTTCTCCGGTAGGAGTTACTATCTACCCACAAACCGTCACTGCAGGGCACTTTAGAGGATGTCTACGATTGGCTGATCAAGACAGCAACATTTGAATTTAAAGGAAGGCCAGACTAAGGTTGGGTTCCTTCGGTCCGAGAGATAAAGCTTTGCTGTGGGAGGAACGCCAACTGGAGGCCGAGATTAGGCGGCAGGATGTCCCGGTGAGCCCACCGTCTCTCTCTCCGGCTGTTTCTACCTCCAGTTCTTCACTAGGAAATCAGCTGCTTCAAGTAAAAGACTGAACAGCATGTGACCGTGTTTTGTAAACTACAGCGGGTCACAAAAGTGCTGAGAGCTACAATTTACGGTGTGAATTTTCCAAAGGTAATCTCCCAGTAGAAGCAAAAGCTATTTGTGGAGGCTCTAGCAGCAGTAGGAGCCGTCTAGGGCAGCCAGGGATTCCGTGCTGCCAGTCCCTCAGCTGTCCTACTGGCCACCAGGGAGACTGTAGTTCAGGCAACCATACATTTACAAAGGCTAAATAAATAAATAAAATAAAAAATAAAAAAGGCTGACAATGACAATTTTTTCCCTGAGGTTTCACTATGTAGTCCTGGCCTAGAATTCAATGCGTAGACTCGTTGGCTTGACACTCAGCCAACTGCCTGCCTCTGCCTCCCGAGTGCTGGGATCAAAGGCGTTGGGCCACCACTCCCAGCTAAACCTATGACTTCTTTAGAAGTCATTGCCTCATGCTAACAATTGAAATTGCATCCACTTAGTATATTAAATAGAAATCATCACATCTGGATTGAATACTCAGTCAAATGAATTAGGATTAAAAAAAAAAAAATCTCTGGTTCAGTGGTTAAAAGCCCTTGATGCTCTCACGGAGGACCTTGGGTTCAATTCCCAGCACCTACATGGAGGTTCACAATCGCCTGTAATTCCAGATCCAGGCATCCAATGCCCTATCTGGCCTCCTTGGGCACTGCATGCACACAGTGCACAGACATATGAAGGCAAAACATTCATACCTAGAAAATACTAACCTTAAAAAAGAATATTGGCGGGCGGTGATGGTGCACGCCTTTAATCCCAGCACTCGGGAGGCAGAGGCAGGCGGATCTTTGTGAGTTCGAGGCCAGCCTGGGCTACCAAGTGAGTTCCAGGAAAGGTGCAAAGCTACACAGAGAAACCCTGTCTCGAAAAACCAAAAAAAAAAAAGAATCTTAAACAATACATATTCTCTCCTATATAAAGCAAAAATAGCCAGCTAGCATTATGGTATCATAGAACTTGAAATGCTTAAAGTCCTGTAAGCCAATCACTTTCCTCAGCACCAGTTTCCGAGAGAGACCTCTTTACTCCACAGGCCTGAATACTTTTCCATGGTGTACATCACTTCACACTCAGGACTTAGTGCCCTGCACAACTCCCAGAGTCACCAAAGTAGCAAGAAGAACTTCCAGGTATTTTGTTGAAATTCACTTTATTTAAAAAAACAAAAACAAAAACAAAAAACCTCATGAACAATAAATTACAATACTTTCCCCCTTTATAAATTCTTCATAAAATATATTTGACAATTTTAAAAGAAAAATTTTAAAGTTGCTTTCATTTCTGATGTGCCTATGACATCATTTTTTTGACTATTTTGTCATGCTGGTGAATTATATTGTAGCTGCTACAATAGTTTGATTGGTAACATTTTACAATTAAAAACAACAAAGAAAAAAACAAAAACAGAAACAGAAACCCAGACCTGCAGAAAGAACTATTCTGTGCTATTATTATCTGACACTGAACACTTACTTCATCCAAATGACAAAGTATCCCTTAGCACCAAGAATCTACAGAACCCATGTTTCTAAGTGACATCTAGGGTAAAGAAACATCCTAGAACTAACTGTACAACCTACAGTGACTGGACACAGCTGCCTAGAAGCTTTATTGGAAATATTTGGTCTTTTTCAATTAAGACAAATTTCATAAAACACTAGAAACCATGGCAACAGACTATGAGGAATAACTGTTTATTGAGTACCTATTATGGGCAAGGCACTGTGCACAATTTCTTGATTGCATTTTTCTTTTAGCAAATATCCAAAATTTCCAAGTATCACTCATCATCTTTATTTCTTACATGTGACCAGAGAAAGTGCATGGCTAAATGCCATTTTTTAAAAAAAGGTTTACTTTTATTTTAATTATGTGTGTGCCCATGGAACAAGAGGATACTGGATCCCCTGGAGCTGGAGTTAGGTGGTTGTGAGCTACCCAACATGAGTGCCAGGAACTGAACTCCATTCTATGCAAGAACAGCAGGTCCTCTAAACTGCTGAGTCATCTCCAGCCACCCTCCACTGCAAATCTTAAATTGTTGTCCTATCAACTAAACCTTAGTGCTGAGCACACAGTAGGTACTTAATAAATACCTCTGACTGAAAAAGAACAAAGAAAGACAAAAGAAATTACTGTCCTTTTGTTGATATCATAAGCTATTTTAGAATACAAGGACTTGAGAACAGTCTGGAAAAAATTTCCTGATCATCCCACACCCTTACAGCTAATGATGGAAAGAACTGTATTTCACAGGTAAAAATCCTTCAAAATAAATTATAACTGTGGCTAGACATGTAGCTCAGTGGTAAAGCCTTTGTGTGGCACATGCAAGGCTCTGGTATGATCCCAGTACCACTTGAAACAAAAGACAAACCAAATTACACATTCTTTTCAAGGAGACAGGATCAAACGCTATGTGCTTAGGACACCAGGGCTTCAAGTGCACAGGTATTTGTAGAGCAAATGAACTGTGGCACACATCACGAATCAATCTGATGGAGTGCCAAGTCATTGATAATACATTATAATGGGACTTTTTCTCATTTCCTGGAACTCAGTCCCCTGGTCAGATCTGTGTCAACTTGGTGTTCTAGAGGGTCAATTACCATAAAGTTCCAATACACTTCTCTTTCAGATAGAATTCTTTTAGTTAAGTCTGCAAGTGATATTAGGTGTATGTGCCTTTTTTTTTTCATTTATGAGATTTTAATAAAGCCTTTCAGTTCATGTTTTTAAACTTCCAGAATAAATCAGTCTAGAAGTTTTACATGTTCCATTTTTTGGTGTTTTATCTTTTATTACCCTCTGAACACATTTTATTTATTGACTTACTGATTTGTATGGTGCTAGGGACTGAATCCAGGGCCTCGGACATGCCAGGCAAGTGTTCTCCACTGAGCTGCTCCTGCCCTACCGTGAAGGCGTGGAGGCTCAAGAGTTGAAGAGACAATGAGACCTGCTGATGATGGCAACATGCTGGTACTCTTTTGACTTTTGCATCTTAGTGCTTTATAAAGATCCCAGAGGGGTCAGTGTCAGACTGCTTCCCTAATATGCCCAAGCCCCAAGGTTCTACCCCAGCCCCGGAAGTGGGGTCTAGTGCTTCATAAAGCTTCATCTAGATACAAGGGTAGTAGGATCTGATTCATCTCAAACTGGTACTCTAGTTCAGGAAAGACTCTTTTCCTCAGTTTCCTGCATTAGCATGAACAATCTGGAGACAAGCATGCAGTTAGAATTTCACTTCAGGAGGAGTTGGGAGTCTCTTGCTTTCTCACAGACAATGCCAGGTGACCACATGAAACTACTCGAAAGCAGTTGATGGCATAGAATTTTATCCATTTGCCAAACTCGGGATGCATCATCTCTCACTTTGGAAAAGAGCAACCAATATTTATGACAGTGATTACCAGTCCCATTATTGTCTCACAGGAGACAAGAGAAAACAGCATCAGTGCCAAAGTGACAGGGACTCCAGTGATCCAACAGGAAGCCACATCAGGGCCAGCAACTTGAGGGTGAGCTCATTTGGTTTCTTCAACTTTATGCTGAGACTTAGTACAAGTCTTAAAACTCGAAATTAATACATCAAGTATTACAGTCATGGAAAGCAATGTTTTTAGAACAGAAGAATACCATCCTCAGGTCACGGCCGATGCTTAAGCGCACACAACGTCCCAATGCAGTGGTTTAATTAGACAAACGCTCGGTTACCTAAAGGTCTGACTGGGCCACCGGGCATCCTTGTTGACCTTCTACCATGTGACTGAATGACTAATTCAACTCCAAGAGCTACAGGACCCTGGAGAGCTCAGACGTGCTCCAGCAGCTCGGACAGCTTAGCTTCAATTATGTTTAATCAGCCATTTTAGACCCTTTAAATGATGCCTTTAAAAGGAGATGTATACCGGGAAAAGAAAACAAAACAGCGAACAAACACCCTTAGCATGTTTCCCGCAGCAGCAGGGGCAGGGAGAAGATGAAGGTGGTTTTGTGTAGTTTTCATCATCAATTTCACCAGCAAACCTCAAAAACCCAAACCTCTATCAAATAATTTAAACAGAAGTGGCATTTTCTTCATGTGGAATGCAAAATGCACACATTCACATACTTACATATACATAAATATATACATATATGTTTCCTTTACAAAGCTTCAAAGGTCGCATTACCAGCATGCAAACCTCTTCTTCCATGGAAATGCCTAATACTGACAAGGAATGTCTAAAATACTTAAAGACATATTTCCAGAAAATTGGACTTTCTTCTCTGCTTGGCTCTTAAGAGAATTTTTTTCTGCCAAACTTTTACCAATGATCATTAAAAAAAAATTTTTTACACCCACATTGGTAATACACATTCAAAACATACAATAAAATGGCCTGCATGGAGTAAGAAAAACGAGAGAAAAAAATTACCCCACAGTAAAACCTAACCCTTGAGGGTGGAGTCTAACTTTCGTCTTCTTTTCGGCCACACAATGTCGAGTCACTGTTGAATCAGAAGCAGCACGTCATCGAAGATGCCTGCAAGCAGGAGGTCACGTTTCCCAGCTGCTGTCTTTAAATGCAATTTGGACTAATCTGAGTTCTAGTTCAAACGCATCCGGACGATCCTGAGGGTTTGCAGCCAGCATTTCCTTAATCAGTTGTTTCATTCGCCCGTTCATAGACTTTTTCTTCACAGGGATGAGAAGTTCCATCTTGGGATTTTCCAGAAGTGCCTCCCCAACAGGCACGATTTCGGTCCCCTGCTTTACATAGCTCCCTAGGAGCTCCTTCTTTGTCTCTGTGTCTATGAAGGTGATCCTCTCCAGCATCGCCCAGATGATAATTCCCAGAGCAAAAATGTCAGCTTTGGCTGTATAGTGTCCTTCCCATACTTCAGGAGCCATGTAGAAATCCGTTCCACATGCCGTCGAAAGGAAACACTTGTTTACACTGACAGGTTCTTCTGGGTTCTGCCCAGATGCTGAACACACTTTACTTAGACCAAAATCGGCCACTTTCAGTGTAGGTTCCAAGTCACTGGTATCCAGCCTGCTTTGAGAAATCAGGATGTTATCAGGCTTCAGGTCTCGGTGGATGATCTGGTTTTTGTGCAAGAAAGCCAGAGCACTGCTGAGCTGAAGCATAAAGCTGGTGTTAGTCTTTCGATTGGGCTTCCTGGATAACAGATACTCATTCATGTCTCCTCCGTCACAAAAATCCATCACAAACCACAAATAATAGGCGCTTCTGGGATCAAAGGCAATTTCTCCTTTTAATGAAGTCTCTACAAGCTGTGAAGAGGCAGGAGGAGGAGAAGTTGTTACAGAATTTGACTATGGGAAGGTTAAAGGGGCAGGAAATAGAGATCCGTGGCCATGAGCTTACTGCCCTCAGAGGACCGGAGCTCAGGTCCTCAGCACCCACATCAGTGGCTCACACTGCCTGCAACAATAGCTCCTGGGGATTCAGTACTTTTCTGGCCTCTGAGGCACCTGCACTGACACATATATCACCCCCACCCAAACACAATTAAAGATTAATAAATCTTTTGTTTTTGTTTTTTGAGACAGGGTTTCTCTGTGTAGCCCTGGCTGTCCTGGAACTTGCTCTGTAGACCAGGCTGACCTCGAGTTCTGAGATCTGCCTGCCTCTACCTCCCCAGTGCTGGGATTGAAAGCATGTGCCACCACACTTGGCTATACATCTTAAAAAAAAATATATATATATGTATATACACACATATATATGTGTGTGTGTGTGTGTGTGTGTGTGTATATATATATATATATATATATATTATATATATATTAAAAGGGGTGGTGGTACACCCCTTTAATCCCAGCACTCAGGAGACAGAGGAAGGCAGAATCTCTGTGAGTTTGAGGACAGTCACAGTTACACAGAAAAACTGTCTTGAAAAACCACACACACACACACACACACACACACACACACACACACACACACACAAAAGGGCTGGAGAGATGGCTCAGCAGTTAAGAGCACTGGCTGCTCTTGAGTATAAACACACACACACACACACACACACACACATACACACACACACACACACATACACACGTCAGAGGGTAACCCTGAGGATAAAAGGCAGGTTGACAGGCCTGCAACCAAGTGTCTCTACACACTGAACCATCTTGCTAGCCTAAGCTTTAACTCTTTACGTAGAAATAAGCAGGCACATTTACTTTATTTGTGAGTAAATTTGCTTCCTACTTTAATAAAAGGTAAAATTATATGTGTACCAAAGGACTGCTTTAAAATGAAGTTATTTAGGATTCATGACCAGTACATGCTTATCTGTAGGTCTGTTTTACACACCTATAGACCCAGGATCGTGCACATGTTTCTCTGGGGAGAGGTCACAAGTGGGTGGGTTAGGATGCTCTCTTCTGCACTGAGGTGAGTCCAGCCCCAGCCTCCAGCTTTAACTGGAAACCTCAGAAATATTTTATTTCATCAGCGCTTTTAGACATGCATTTAAAAAATGGCTTCCAGTACTTCAGGATGCCACCTTTGTTCTAAATGAATACAAACTAAATTTCTGAGCCAAGAAGTGACATTTTTAAGTAGCTGTATTTTGGAAAGTTCCCTAACTGGCCTATATTTTCTACATAGGTCAATTCTACCACCTTCTAGCACATCGCTTCATGAAAAGACTAAAATATAGAGGACCATTGCTTTTAAATTATTTGTTCTATGGCGTCTTTTTAGATTGGTGGGTTGAAAAGGGGAAGATCAGAGTTGAGCTGGTGAAGAATGAGTAACTGATAAGTTTATATTTAAGTTAATTACTATTACTACTTCTGGTTATTCTGGCAAAAGCCAAGAACAGCCCTTCATTCTGTCTCCCGTGGCAATGGCCTGCAGGAGTCTCCTTTTAGCCTGATGTGCAAAGAGAACAAAACACAAGTGTACTGTTTCTTTTCTTTTTTTAAAGGTTTGTTTTTATTTTATGTGCATGTATGTGTGTGTGATGATGCCCTGGAATGGTAGTTAACAGACAATTGTGAGCTGTCATGTGGGTGCTACGAATTGAACCCAGGTCCTCTGGAAGAGCAGCCAGTGCTCTTAACCACTGAGCCATCTCTACAGCCCCCATGTGTACTGTTTCTAACTGACTTCAGTTTTCTGTCTTTCCCTAAAATGCAAACTTAATAAACAGCTTTGTGTAATGCAGAATCCCAGTACTCAAAGAGTGGTTTATAAGGTAGGCATGGAGGTGCACATAATACTGGCCAGCAAGAAGGGAAATGTATAGCTCTCACCCACTTATCTAGATAATGATTGTTAGACTCTCTAAGTTTTAAATAGTTCTTTTTTAACTCCCTAAATAGGGTCTCACTCTGTATCTCAGGCTGACCTTGAACTCTACATGTAGCCCAGGCTGCCCTTTAACTCATGATAATCCTTCCTCTGTCTCATATGTGTCAGGATTATGTGCACCACACCCAGTCAGTTCATAATTCTTAAGCCACAAGATATATCAGATTCCCTATTATATGTTCCTACACCATCTACGTCACTAGTCTGAAATACACAGACTGGAGGTTACATAGTCCTTATGCTTGAAATTGAGACCTTGTCACTGTTTTACATTTTCTCTTGGATAACGATTTTAGCTATCAGGAACTGATTTAATGGTTCCAACTGAGAACAAGGAAGAATATATCTAGAAAAACATATGGAAAAAATGAGAATATATACAGATAATAAAGACCATGCACAGGAATTTTCTAGTTACATTATAGATTTGTGTATTGACTATATTGTATTGTATTCTTTAGATACAATTCTATTGATAAATATATGGTCAACTATGCTGGGTGAAGTAGTATATGTCTTTAATCTCAGCACTCAGAGGCAGAAACAGGTGGATCTCTGTAAGTGTGAGGCAGGCTGGTTTACATATTGAGTTCCAGGCTAGCCAGAGCTACCCAGTGAGACTATCTCAAAAATAAATGAATAAATAAAGAAAAATCTGGCTAACTTATAACTCCATAGAAAAGACTATTTTATTTCAACACAGGTACTTATTTCTGAGTTCTTATGGCCAAATCTTGTTTCAGCATCTCCTCTTCTTTGACAATGCCCAAATAGCTACTATGAAAGATGGATTATTTATTTCAAGTCATTCTGACAACAGAAAGTGACATAAATCAAATACAGGTCTATAAGGCTTTAAAGAGTGAATGAGATTTACTAAGAAAGGCAATTTCAATATGAAAAGCGCTTAGTCAAATCTGGTACTTCCTATCTTAGACCTCGAAGTACTAAACAATACCTAATTCTTGTTACAGTTGCTAGATCTGGACTCCGCACTAAGTCAAATGTGCTGACATCTTCACTTTTCCATCCACAGGGATTGGATACCTTTATCTCTAAAACTCAACGCAAAGTTGACAACGGTTAGGATGGGATGCAGTTTCTGTAGTGTGTTTCAAACCCTAGGCTCAATCTCTAGCACTGGCAAAAAAAAAAAAAAAAAAAAAAAGGAAAGTCTCCAATCTTTTTCGAGACAGGGTTTCTCTGTGCAGTATAACAGTCCTGGCACTCATTGTATACATTTGCCTGCCTCTGCTTCCCAAGTGCTGGGATCAAAGGCGTGCTCTACCACCGCCTTGCTCCAATGTTGTGTTTGTGTTTTTTGTTTTTTTTTTAAATCATGGCATCTTAAATACTTTTAGAAAGACAGACACTAATAAAGATAGTTTTTAAAAACTTTTAGGTTATTTATTTTGTGTATGTGTGGGTGCTACAGCAAACTCGTGGAGGTAAGACAACAACTTTCAGGAGTCCGCTCCCTTTTTCTACCATGTGGGACCTGGGAATTGAACTCAGGTTATCAGACTTGGCAACAAGGAATTTTCTGGTTACATTATAGATTTGTGTATTGACTATATTGTATTGTATTCTTTAGATACAATTCTAAAGAATTACCCTCTGAGCCTTTTCAACAACATGAAACACTTTTATTGTTATTATCTCATGTGTGTTTAGTGCTTACATGTGTACACAACACTCCAAATGTGGAGGTCAGAGGACAACTTCTGTCCTGGAACTCAGGATTCAGTCTAGGCATGTCTCGAACTTGATACCCAGGTGAGTCTGTCTTAAACTCCTGAGCCTCCTGACTCCGCCTTCCAAGTCCTAGGATTATCGGCATGTGCCAATATACTCATCTGAAGCTTCTCATGTTTAGACCTGTGCCTTCTAAAAAGAGAAGTCCGGTGACCTATGGCTGGAGTTGTTACTGACTGTGGTATCTTTCCTTGTCTTCTGTGTTTATTTTCAAAAGAATTGGTTTCCAGGAACTGAACTTTGATGCTAGTCTCAAAAACTCTCTAGTTCCCATCTCGTTCCATTCCTACGCAGACTGGCAAATACCAGGTATAACAGGTGGCTTAGGTTATTTTTAGGTATGTGCAGCACAAGCTTAAAGCAAATACCTCCTCTATCCTCTGAAGAGATCTATCTGCACCTAGCCATAAAACACCTGCATTTTCAGGAAGAAGTTCACCTGACACTTCATTTCCTCTTGCTGACCAATATTACGTCCATTTCCTATCCAGTGACACATACCTGTAAATAAAGGGAAGAATTAGAGCCGTGGGACATCTTTTGCACCATCCCATCTTTTTGCAGAATGCACTCTTCCAAGTGAATCACATTTGGGTGCTGGCTCTTGATACTGCTTAGTGCCCAGAACTCTCGAAGGGCTAGTTCAACATTTTCAGGTGCGTGGCATCGGATTTTCTTCACTGCTACTCTTGCAGAGGTCTTTCTGATGACTGCTTCATACACAACACCGTAACTACCTCGGCCTACCTCCCGTATTAGATCGTACTTGGGCTGGCTACTCACCATCTTCAAGGTCGAGGTTTCTGGAAAAATCAACAAAGTACTCTGTTGAAATGAGGTGTACCTATTGGCTTGTATTCTTATGCAGGATTTAACTAACTGTTTCACTGTCTGTGGTACTTGAAAGGTATCTAGCTATACCCTGGACAAATCTACCAACAATAATAAAGGTAAACAGACAGCACTTACCATGTATCAGGAACTATTTCAAGTACTCTATAATTGTTTTTAAAGTTTGTGTTGTCTTTGAGACAGGGTCTTGCCAAATTCCCCAGGTCTAGAGCTTGATATGTAGGCCAGGCTGGCTTCAGAAGCCATGGTTACAGAGCCATCATTCCTGACTTTTTTTTTAAATTTAATCTTGGTGTGTGGGTGCAGGCATGCCCATGCCATGACACACCTGTCTGAAGGTAACTTTGTTCTCCTGTCACTGCTAGCTAGCTGCCTGTGAACTTCTGGAGACTGTTCTGTTTCGGCCTCGCATCTCACTGTAGGACATCTGCTTTACATGGGCTCTGTGGATCCAAACTCAGTTCCTCATGCTTACTGGGCAAACACTTTATCCACTGAACTCTCTCTCCAGGCTCCACCCACCCACCCTCTTTTTTGACAAGGTCTCACTGTGTAACCGTGACTGGCCTCCAACTCACAGAGATAAGCCTACCTCCACTTCCCCAGTGCTAGGATTAAAGACTTGGGCCACCATGCCCTGCATCCAATCCTTTTTTAAAAGACAGGCGCTTGCTATTATGTAGCTCAAGATGGCTTTCACTTTTTAAAAGTTGTATTGTATGTTTTGTACGCATGGGTGTGGCTTTGTGGAGGTCAGAGGACACGATGTGGGAGTCAGTTCTCTCCTTCTACCATGTGGGTCCCAGGGATTGAACTCATAACTCATAATAACTAGTAACTTTACCCACTGAACCATCTCAACAGCCCTGGCTGCCTCTGTCTGTGGAATGATGGAATTACAGGTGTGTGACACCTGGCTAATTTACATTAAGTTCATTTAATCCTTAACCATAATCTGTGTAGTAAGGGATAGGTGCTGTAATGGTCATTTTAGAAGTGAGGAATTAAAACACAGAGAAGGTAAGTAAACAGCCAGTGGCCAGGCAGGTCTTTGGCTCAGACAGCCATGATTTAAACCACTAAACTAGACTGCTTCTTATAGAACTGCTGGAGCATGTCACTGTTAAAAATAAACCCGACACCCGCAGTAGTGGCTCAAGCCTTTAATCCAAGCACTCTGGCTTTAATCTGAGCACTCAGGAGGCAGAGGCAGACAGATCCCTGAGTTCAAGGCCAATCTGGTCTACAGAGGGAGTTCCAGGAGAGGCAGAGCTACACAGAGAAACCCTGTCTCAAAAAACAATAAGTAAACAAATAAACCCAAAATTCAACATTTTAATTTACTGATCACGAAAAAAAAAAGAAGAAATGTATCTACATCTCCTTAAGGTTGACACACATATGAAAGGTAATAAAAACAGTGAGATGCAAAAAAACCCTCACAGAAATAGAAACACCTGACTTATGCTTATGGACTGAAGTGAACAAAATCACTTTTGTTTCATTTGAGACAGCGTCTCCAATAGCTCGGGCTAGCCTTGAACTCACTATGTAGCAGAGGTTGATCCTCTTGCCTCCACTTTCCAGATACTGGGGTTACAGGCATGCTCCCGCATGTCTGGTTATGTATTTTTCACAAAACAAACACAAAGTTTTTGTAGGAGAACTGATCCTTAAAATGAAGTAAGCTGTTTAGACTAGAACTACCTTTACATTATCATTTGACATAGCTATTTAATTCTAGGTCATTTTTGCCAAAGCGGGGGTGGGGGGGGGAAGCATCTTATACATCATAGGGAATTCTCTGACAAAAGTTCTTTGGAGTTCCACCTGAATAAATCATTTTACAGGCAAGCTGGAGCACCGGCCCTACAGAGCATGTTCTTTGGAGAGTCTGCCATGTGCTCCCTCCCTCCTCAAATGCTCACTTGCCGACTGTCAGCACCGTCAGCACCGGCAGGAACCGTAACCCGAGATTGCACTTACATCGCACCATCAGAGAGACAAAAAGTGACTGACTCTGGAAGCTGGGACTCCCGGAACAACTACCTGAAGTTCACGGGCCAGATTTAAAAAGAAAATGACCGCTCCTGGGGACTGCCCTGGGCGCTACTTCCTTTAACTGCTCGCCTATCCTTCAAGTTCTCACTGTATTTCCTAATGTCAGATTTCCTGCCGCCGCCGCCGCCGCCGCCGCCGCCGGCGGACCTGCTGCCCTGCTCTGCGCGGATCGCCCGTTTCTAGGCGCTTCCACGGGGCTCTTTCCCGGGCAGCAGTCCCCCGAGAGAGGGGCACCCTCCCGGGTAAGGGAGGAAGGAAGGGGTCCATGCCATCCCTGGGATCCTGGAGGGAGAGGCGCCCCCGCGAAGCATCCTTCGCGAGCCCGTGTGCCTCACGATGGCCCCTCCCGGCCCCTCCTGCCCGCTACGGTGCCCGGTGCCGGCAGCGCCGGCCTGGACGTGCACCTGCTGGTGCCCGGGAAGGGACCAGCGAGGCCAGAGGTGCAGCCGGCGCGGACGCTCAGGCCGCGCTCACTGCCCCAGCGGCAAGATCGCTCCCGGCGGCGGTGCCCCGCAGCCCCGAGGGACCCTCCCGCGGCCCTCCCGCGGGCTCCACGGCCGCTTCAACTCGCGGAGGCTGCAGACTAGGGGCCGGGAGCCGGGAGTGGCCCGGGCGGGAACGGAGGCCGCAGTCCCGGCCGCTGGCCGGGGCAGCGCCGGGCCTTCCCGGGGATGACTCCGCTGAGAGGTCCGTGACAGGCCTGCAGGGGACAGAGGCACATGCAGGGAGCTCGCTTCTGACGGCAGGGCATCCGTGCCACGGCGAAGGGCCAGGTTTACCTCAGGGCAGCCGCCGCCGCTTCTCCCTCTCGTGAGCTCCGCAAGCCGCCATTATCGGGCAGCTCGCGCCTCGGCTGCCGCGGCCTCCAGTCAGAAGCCGGCGCGCGCCCCCGTGGTGCGCGGACACACCCCCTCACGCCGGGCCCCGCCCCCTCCGGCTCGCCGTAGCGCGCGTGCGCCGCCGAGCGCCGCCTGCTGGGCGAGCGCCGCCCCTTTGCGCGCGCCGGCCGCGGGGCTCCGGCGCCCCGGCTCCCCTGCGCTGCGCAGAGCCGAGCCTCGCCGGCGGTGTGCGCGCTGCAGGGCGGACCACTGGTGCCCTGGCCCGCAGGGGTGGCGGCAGGGGACGGTCGCCCTCTGCCACCGCAGGCGCCAAGTCCCGGGACTTCGGGGGAAGCTGTGGCCACTGTCCCCGGCCGGCAGTGCACGCGCCCGGCCGCGGGCTGCCCTCCCCGTCCCCTGCCGACCTACCGAGCGGCGACGGGCTGGAGGGCGCGGTTCGCTGCGGCCGGATGCCCGGCGCATCTTCCTTGCCGGAGGGCGGGTCTGGGCGGCGGGCCCGCGGGGTGATGCGGCCGGTGCTGGGAGGTTGCACCTTCTGTCCGAGTTACCTAGCCGTGTTTGCGGGCGGCGCAGTGGCCCCGGCGGCGACGCGGGACTGAGTGCGAGCATCTGGGAGGACGCCGTCCCCTGCCCCACCGGCGCGGTGGTATCTCCCTTAAAGAAGCCGGAACCTCATTGTTCCCGGCGCTGAGGATCGGGGTTGCCCTGCTGGGTGAAGGGGAGAGGGCGCGGCCGACCTGGCTGCGGCGCCCCGCCTCGCAGGCCTGAACTAGGGTCGGAGGGTGCAACGACACGCGACAAGTCGCCACGGACCAGGATTGAATGCAGTCCTCTGGACGGTGGGCGCTTCGGGCCCGAAGCCTTTCAAATCCCCCCAACAGCTGTCAATCATGTCCCGGCAGCAGTCGGCCTGAGCTCTACCATCAGGCTGACAGTCACTCGGAGACCAGGACCAATTGGCCGGCCCGTTAGTTACACAGATTCAGTAAGCATCTGCCCGAAACGCCCATTCTTTTCTTTTTTATTCTGCACCTACTGTTTGCTAATAAGGTTGATTCTGCGCTCATTGCGGTGTAAGGCACGATTAGAATCTGTTACTGCGCTCCAGTGATTGTCTCAGTCTTCTGTTTATGGGACTAGTATTTGGGAACTGACAACTTTTTATATAATCTGAATCTTTTTATATAATAAAAACTCCACAAGTAAAGGTTTTACTACTGACCCCGCTTTCACAGGAGAGAAAGCCGACTTCTGCTACATTTGACCAAATGGTGTCTTTCTAGAAAACGCGCCCTTGGTGTAACTACCTCCGGAGAGTTTGTCCCGAGTGCCATTCTGGTACTGGTGTCCACCAGTTTGCTGGGAATGCTGATGTCACTCAAGACTTGTTTCCTGCCCTGGAAAGCAGCGGGGCATGGGAATGCTCTGTAGACAGCTGGCTACCAGTGTGACAGGAGGACGGAATAGGAAGAGATTCTCGGTCAGAGTAGCCTTTCTGTTCACTGCAGTCATTAAATGTCACGAACTCCAAGGGACATACCTGTTCTAACTATTTTCCTATTTCTGTGATTAAAAAAACAAAACACTGAACAAAAGACCAAAAACACCTTAGAGGAGGAAAGGGTTGGTTTAACTTAAATTTGCAGGGGTTAGGGTCACAAATTCATCACCGGGGGAAGTCAGGGCAGGAACTAGGGGAAGGAATCATGGGGTAAGGCTACCTACCAACTCGCTCCCGGGTCATGGTTCAGCTGCCTTTCTAAGGGCCTGCTTAGGAATAGCACTGCCCACATTGAGGTGAACCCTCCTTTGTTAATTAGCAGTCCAGAAGCCGCCCCCTCCCCCAGACATGCTCACAGGCCAGTCTGATGGAGGCCAACTTTGTCCTCAAATAGCTGAGCTGTCAACTTGACAGCTGAAGCTAACTAGGAGACCGGTGTTTTACAGTGTGCCATCTTCTGTGTGAATGATAAACACAGTCACTTATATTTTAAACTTTTAAAAGGCCTATCATCAACCCAATATAGGAAGAATTACTCCACGTTCTTCTGCACTTTTGTTGTTTTTGAGGCAGGGTCTCGCTTTGTAGCTCTAGCCTGCCTTAAATTTACTCTGTAGACCAAGCTGGCCTTGAACTCACAGAGATCCACCTGCCTCTTCCTCCTGAGTGCTGTTATTAAAGGTGTGCACCACCACTGCCTGGCCAGCCTTTAAAACATGTATGTATCTGTGTTTGTGTGATGATGTATATATGGAAATCAGAGGAAGACTTTGTGGAGTCCATTCTCTCCTTCCACCTTGGGGTGGATTCCAGGGATTGAACTCTGGTCACCAGGTGTGTGTGTCACGTGCCTTTAATTGCTGAGCTATCACACCAGTCTGGCGAGAAAGCTTGCTACAGCATGTAATTGGAAGGAATTTCCTATGGGCTGTCAACCAGCTCCCAAATAATGACACAGAGACTTATTATAAATTATGAAAGCTTGGCCTTAGCTTGGGCTTGTCTCACTAGCTCTTTTAATTTAACCTGTTTCTATTCATCTACATTGTGCCTCTGGGCTTTTTACCTCTCTTTCACTCTGTGTGTCCTACTTTCTTCCATGTCTGGCTGGCCTCTGGCGTCTCCCTAGCATCTCTTTCTTTCTTCTCCTGAGCCTAAATTCCTCCCCCTACTTACTCTCCCTGCCTAGAATTCCTGCCTATACCTCCTCCCTTGCTATTGGCTGTTGAGCTTTTTATTAGACCAATCAGGTGCCTTAGGCAGGCAAGGTAAAACAGGCACACATCTTTGCATAGTTAAACAAATATTCTGCAACAGAGAAACCCTGTCTGGAAAATAATAGTAATAAAATAAAAATAAGTATTCTAAGGCCAGCCATGGTGGCATATGCCTTTAATCCCAGTACATTGGAGGCAGAGGCAGCAGATCTGTGAGCTCAGAGCCAGCCAGGACTATACAGTGAAACTTGTCTCAAAGCAACAAAGTAGGGTGGGGGAGATGGCTCAGTGTTTACAAGCACTTGTTACTTTTGCAGAGGATCCAGGTTCAGTTCCCAGCACCTACATGGTGGCTCACAACCATCTGTAACTCCAGTTCCTAGGAATCTAGTACCTTCCAACCTCTGAAAGCACCAGTTAAGCATGTGGGATACTGTGGGGGACCAGCCCCCACCTTTACCTAGGTACTCTTGAGGAGTGAGGGAGAAGAGATTTAGATAGGAGAGAGGGGAGAGAAACAGAAACACAGGATAGCCTCGGGAGGGCCTGGATCCTTATTCACCAGTCCAGAACTTTATTCAAAAGGGCTTTTTATAACAATGCCAAGAGGCAAGGCAAAAGACCTTCCCCTGGCTAGATACAAGCAAGTGTAGACGCTTCCAAACACCTGGTACCCAGGCCCAAGGTCCAGTCATCCTCTTAAGCAGTCCTGCTGGGTAAAACAAGCTCAGGTCTCACTAGGAAACCTCTGTGGACTACCACAGGTCCCTCTTCTTAATATTTTAAGAATGTCATTTAAAATGTCTTAAGAATTTTAAGAGCTCCCCATTAAGAACTTGCAAGTAGCTGTAACAAAACAGCGATCCCCATAGCTGCCACACCTCCCCGTGAAGGAATACAGGATAAATAAAGATGGAATGTCCTTTTTGGAATGGGTCTAAGGTGACTACAGCAGTCTTAGCCATACCAAGCCCTTTTTTAAAATCAATAAACTCCTGATGCAACCACATCAAATAAATAAATAAACTCTGGATGCAACTGCATCAAACTTAAAGACTCCCTTAACTTCATCAACATTAACAGGTTAACATAATTCTAACATAAATATTACTATACATACAATTTTCTCAAACTTATATCCAAAAGCAAACTCTTAATAGAACCATTAACACTTTAAAAACTTTAGCAAAAATACACTTTAAAGCAATCTCTTAATAGAACCATTTGCATTTCTTGCTAACAAAACATAGGATAAACTTCTGCCGCATCCACATCAAACTTAAATACTCCCTTCACTTCACCAAACTGGTACATCAATATCAACAGGTTAACATAATAACTCTAACATAAATATTACTATACACAATTATAATTCCACAAACCTACATCCGAAAGCAATATTCTCAATATAACCATTAACACTCAAAAACTTTAGCAAATATCCAAAAGCAACTTCTTAATAGAGCTATACAAAACATAGGGTACATTAACACAACATCAGTCTACTCAAGGGACAAGAAAATTTTTTTAATTAAATTAAATAGACTGAGGAATATTAACTCCCCCTGTTCTTTATAATTTTTTAAACTTTATAATTTTTAAGCCTAGTTAAAAAAAAAACACAACCAAACTTCTCCATTTAAACAGTTCCGTTTTTAACACAAAACAGTTCATGAGTAGAGTCTATATGCATAAGTAGAGTCAAAATTGTCCCATTGCAATGGAATCTCTCCTGTCCGTTTCATTTCTTAAGTCCCCAAAGTTCAAAAACCAGTTCTATTACCGGTCTTAAAGTTCCAGAAAGCTTTCTGATACCAGTTCTTCCGAGCACTTGAAATCAGGCCCGGCTCGTCAGCTGCCCTTAAGTCTTTGTACAGCTGCCAGTCATAATCTGTCTGACGCAAACAGCTCCAAATACGAGGAGTCCCAGAACCAAAACTTTTCTTTTTTCCAGTTCAAGTAAGCCTCTGAAACTTTCACTCTGGGCTACAGCTGCGCTCTGCAGTCCATAGCCTTCCCATAAGGCCATTTTTGCTCCAGGGCAAAAGCTATTAGCTGGCTCGGGCAGAGTCCTTTCAAAAGAGACTTTCTTACAGCCAGCAAACAGAAACTGCAAGGCTTTTGGCTCCTGACTTTCACAGCGTTCACAGTCTGTCTGTGCCTCCATAATCTGGCCGATCCCAGGACCCCTGTGTCCTGAGGCCCTGAGGGCTTTCAATCACCTCACACCACGTGGGCTCAAGAGGCTGCCCCTGCTGTTAGGTGTCACTGCTCTCAGCCCCCGGGGGTGGGGAGGAAACCCAGCCATGGCTGGTCTCCGCTGCTGGCCCTCCTGGTGT